CCATGTCGCCAGCTTAAAAATCTCCATGGACTATGCTCAGAAAATTTCAGCACTCTAATTGCTTTGGTTGATGAGTTATAAAATTATCACATGGGAAGTAGGGGCCACGTAACTTTAACTAACATTTTCGATCCTAATGTGTGGGGAGCAAAAAAAGAAAAATTGTAATCTTCTTGGTAAGACTTCTATTGCATTTTTAAAAATAGCAAAATGACGGCAGGTATTTTTTGAGCGTCTGTTTAACTTGTCATTGCGATAAAATTCGCTAACACTTTTGAGCTGCAAAATCCGAACAGTGTAAAAACACGCTAGTGATTTAGAACTACACAAGCGTTTAGAATTTCATGCATGCAAAATTTTTGCCCACTTGATTAGGAACTGTAGCCACTCCTGTCTCCGTTACGCTTCTATTATCTGAATTTTAATCATCACTTTTCCATTAAAGTTCTTGAAAATTGAGAGAATGCCCTCATCAGCAAACTAACCACAAGAAAATGCAGAATTAGTCACAGCAACTGTTAGCTCTATAGCTGAAGAACTAGGCTGTGGTTCGCGGCTGACAAAGTATACAAGTAATCTGTAGACGCTTAGCAATAATAGAAGGGCAAGCAGATAGACCCAGGTAATGTATGTGAAGTTGATCAACCTAAAATCAGTCCATGTGTTAAGCCCTTAGCCTTAAATACAAACAAAGATGTACATGCGACCTCCTCACCAAGTCTAAAAAGCGCTCGTTCACCATAATGTGTGCACAGTGCACAGTAATCGTCGACGTCTGCAAGCAGGGTGGCAAGTACTGAAGTCACTAATAATCAGAAAGTTGCAGGAGGCTGCGGAATGAGGCGGTGATTGCAATTGGACGCGCGTGTTGCCAGTGACTATCATCACGCACCATGTGGCGATGCCGCGCATACGATTCGAATATGTATTTGTAGCCCTTACTGTTTTCTACATTATTAGCCTCATACAGCTCAAATTCTTCTCAGCCGAAACACAGGCTCGTTGTTGTTTCTTTTTTTCCGTTAATTCAAGCTCAAAGTGCCGAAATGCAGTCGCATAAGGAAGAAAGCGACCGCTCGGGTAAAGCGCGGAAAAAGCATACTTATAAAAAAAATATGGAACAATCGTATTTGAGTATACTTTCAATAATTGTCACTTTACTAATTATCTTCTTTGATTATTTACACTATATGAACATTCCTTTCTAGTTGCAGTTCTACTTTTCCTACATAAAAAGTTTAGTTCTCAAAACGCATTTTTGTTCTTATGCATATTATACAAACAGTTGTTTGGAATATTCATCCACAACAATTTGCAAATAGCGCCATATGTTTCTATTATAACTCTTTGCTCATCCTTCCATTGTTTTTAATTATTTTGCTATATTAAGCGTTTTTGCTTACATGCAAACACAAAAACGTATATTGTGACGACCCCCGTGTGAGTGTGTATGTGTTTGCGTTTGTTCGGGTATTTTAACTTGGCACCCAGGCAAAATTCAGTGCCAAAATTTTGCCAGTGCATTCCTCGGCAAACAGTGCCACCCCAGCCCTCACGCAAGCCTGAACCCCGCGTAGGGGAGGGCGAAAGTTTTGGCGGGAAGGTCGCTGACTCGGAAACCAGAAAAGCTAGAGAACTGAAATTTTGAGGTCATGCTTATCGCCCACATAGAACACAATGATTTCGAATTCAGCCCCCCAGGTGTGCGTGGTATCTGTATATGGCCACGTGGAGATTTCTGGCGTGAAAATCGCTACCTTAGAAACTAGGGATGTCCGGAGGCTGAAATTTTCAGGTGATGTTCACCGCACATTTACAACCTAAATTTATCGAATTCACCCCCCCAGGCATGTGCGGTTCTCATGTGCGGCCCTATGGAAGTGTTTGGCGGGAAAATTGCTAACTCGGAAGCCAGGAAATCTGGAAAACTGAAATTTTAAGGGAATGTCCCAGCATATCTACAACATAAATTTATCAAATTCAGTCCCAGGCATGCATGTTGTCACATTCGGCCCTGTAAAATTTTTTAGTGGGGAAATGGTTAGCTCGGGTGGGGAAAATGGCTAAAATGGCGGGGAAATGGTTAAAATTCACGGCGGGAAAAAAATGGTTAAAATTCATCCACAACAATTTGCA